TCTTTTCGTCTGCAGGGACTGTTTTGTCTGGTTTACAATCACCTGAACAAGGTAAGATCGATTATGGCAACTGACAAGCGCTTCAAGAAGTGTGTGGATCCGTGTCTGAGGTTTCTGACACCAGGTGACACACAACTTGTGCGTTTACTGTTTGGCACGCACGATCAGCTCTTGAGGGAAGAGGGACAGGAATCTGGGCCCAGTGGTTCGGATCCCACTCGTGCGGAGACTCGGATCATAGAGCTCGCTGATGAGTTTGAGAGAGGTGTTTCTCTCTCACGCCCGTCAGAGGCTCGTGAGGGTGAGCTGCAGGATGAGGATGTGTTATCTCTTACATCCCTCTAATCCAGCAGCAAGTGCTCTGCTGGTACCTAGCCCGAGAGAGCAGGAGATGACTGAGGAGGGTGAAGAAGAGGTACAACCTGAACCCTCACAGCCTCCCTGCCCCACGTATGATTAGCTGTTTGGTGTTATGGAGCTCGCTTCGGCTGCCGTGGGAGCACGTTAAGGAAGGACCCGTTCGCAGTAGGCTCGATGAACGGTTCCTTTCTGGCCATAATTCACCAGCTCCCGTGAGCCTTCTATTCCTTCCTGATCTGGAATAGAAGGGGGCATCGACACATACCCATGTTCACACATTCCCTCGACATCAGCGTAGATTGCACGCATCCATCGTCAGCAGCGTGCAATCTACGCTGATGTCGAGGGAATGTGTGAACATGGGTATGTGTCGATGCCCCCAATTGACAAGACGTTCGCGAACTATCTCGCTGCTGGAAAGGCAACGGCACTAAAAGCATCGGCCCTGCCTTCCAAGCCACTCAAAATGACATCTCGCTTGAATGGCAGGGCATACGTGGCAGCAGGTCAGGCTGGGGCTGCCTTATACACAATGTGTTACAGGCATACCAAGCCGATCTGCTGAAGGATTTGGATCAGGAACAGGGTCTCTCCCCTGACGCAGTGGACGAGCTGCGCCGCACCACAGATCTGGCTCTTCGGGCCACCAGACAAACCGCTACCTCGATTAGAAGGTCGATGGCAGCGATGATGGCCACGGAGAGACATCTGTGGCTGAACCTGGCTGACATCGAGGAGAAAGAAAAGGAATTTCTCCTCGATGCCCGGGTTTCGCCATCTGAACTTTTCGGCACCTCCTTTGAGACGGTGGTGGAAAAGTTCATAGAGGCGAAGGCGCGCTCGGCAGCATTTAAATCATGCATTCTGCTGCGATCCGAATCCACACCCAGACAGCCAGGGGGGCCTGACCCATTCCGGTTCGAGGATCGGATACAGGGCCAGAGGTTCAGTGTCGCCTCTCGCGCTTCTACTCCTCCAACAAGGAGTAGGTCGCAGAGAAGGCGCGACTCAAGGAAGAAGAGGGATCTGAGGGAGGTGATCCAACACAGGCGCTTCCAGCATCAGTGGGGGATCCCCTTCCTCTGAGGGTGAATAACATCCACCCTCTCCTCTCTCTCTCCCCCTATTTTCTGTGCCCCAGGCGCTTCTTACACCAGGCCCAAGGCCTGGACCAATGATGACATTTTCCCATTAAACGGAATGCCTCTGAAGGTCTGGAGTTGGTAGTGAGCGCGCCCTTTCTAGCTTTGGGTGGTAGCCCTTCATTCGATGAATAGAATTTAGGCCGCCGCTCTATGAGCAGCAGGATGATCTTGGTAGGTCTTTGTATAAGGTTGTTTCACTTTAGACATCGGTTTCCTGTTTAGAATTTTTTTTGGGGAAAATATTACAATTAGGGAATTAGGGCCCTGTAGTTCCCTTTTTCATAGGTAGGCTTGCATACCTTATCATAGGCCTCCTCTTGTGTTAAGAGTCGTCAGGTTATGTAGTAGGTGGTGCCAATCTTGGTCAAGCAATGATGTACAGATTGGCTTCATCTCATAGAGAAATCTCTAGTGAGGCCACCTTGCATGAGAGCTTTAACAGATTATGTTTTAGCGTGAGTTGGCTTCATCCGATTTGGGGGGTTTCTCCTGAGGCCACCACTTTGTATAAGCTCCAGATTGACCAACCAAGCGTTTGGTTGATTTCTTCGTCTGTTTCAAAGATGAAATCATGACCTTATGATGATAGTAACCGTAACTGACACATGGAGCAACATCATTTAAATGTTTTCAATTCCACCTTGGGGCTCTGAAGAACTGCTTGTGAATAAATGGTTGATATTGTAAATTTACATCTGAATACATCAAATATGTGTTTTAGAATGGATAGTGTATACTTTGTTTTCAACCCGACTGTAATTGAACTGTAAAGTGAAAATCTTGTACATGATTTATTTAGTGTTTTCAGTTTTCAGTGTTTTTGCTTTTATTTATAGGATACAGAGAGCGGACAATAAGTGAAGAGTGAGCCAATTTTATAAAACTTTATTAAATGTGTTTGTAATTAAGCCATTGCTGCCAGTCATTTGACAGTTAACAATTTTTTACTGTTCAGTATGTACAGTTAATCAATAATTCAGTCAGCATTGTCATGACTCATGTTCCAACTGCAAACTAGGTTGTAATTGAACAGTTGTATTCTCCCATGTTGAAAGGTAAGACAGTGAATCAACGTCACAATATCAACATTGATTCAATTTCCAAAACCAAAGCATAATTCAACGTTACATTGACATACAATCGACACACAACCTTTATTCACCCATATTGAAAGAAGAGACGGCGAAACAATATTGCGATATCAACGTTTATTTAATTTGCAAAATCGAAATATAATTCAATGTTGATTCAACCTTGAATCAACATTGAAATGCCAGCTGGGTGGGTTAGGGCTGGAATTTGTGATTGAACAATGCTAGCAACTAATAATTTACCACATAATTTTATGTGCAGTAACTGACTAAAGATCATGAATAGAGTTATGACTATTTTCGCAGGAATGTTGCTCCAGACAATAGATACTGAAGTATAAACAAAGTCTCAGGTTACTTCAATGGAGTAGTAATGCATTACCAAGTCTGTTAGTCTGTTACCTGTAAAAATGTATTTGTTTGCAAAATTCATCTAGAATTACATGAACAGGACACTAAAGCCTGATGGTTGTTTCTTTAAATTGTCTGGCCAGAAGACCTTTGAGCCAAGTACAGTTTCGCAATTCATCGGTAAATGCATCCAATTATGCTATTAAAAGCACTTATTATTTTTTATTTTAAAGTTTCTGTTTGTTTCCATCTAAGTATCTTAAGATGAAGCACGTTTAGACATGCCTAAATATCCAACACATGCTATGCACTGGTTAAGGGGCGTGATTAATTTCTGTGTGGTATAAAGCATAAACCTGAAGATTTACAAGATTCTCACACTCATCAAACCAGGCAGCTCAGCACAATAGACAGGTTGTAATCTCACAGGCGCCTTTCTAGATCTCCTGATAGCATTGGCTGTGTGTTGTGTAGAAATGGAGGGTATTGTAGAAGACTGCCTGGGCTTTCTATATGATCTACTCATGGTAATATGCGTTGGACTGCTTCTGCGCGTGGCTGTAGGCCGGTCTGGGAGGTGGGTGGTGTTGCTTGTGGTTTCCGGTGTGATGTTGAGCTGTTTGGTCCATTCAAGTGTTCTTAAAGTGGGGCTTATGAGTGTGCTGTGTAGTGTGGTCCACTATGTAGGGAGAGAAGAGGTCATGTTGTCTACCCTGGACAAGGCGGTACTGATCACAGGTAAGACACCATATCCAGTTTGCTCCTAAATTATGTTTATTTGTATATATTCTAAAGGTCAGCATATATAATAATGTATTCACAGCATAGTGAAGTAGTGTATATCTTATGAAGCCTTTCAAGAACAAGGTCATGTTTCACCATCAAATCATTAAACTTTAAAACTCCTGTGTGTAATTATCAAGTGCTCCTGGAGATCTTCATTAACTGCTTTTAGATGTGTTTGATCAGGGTTGGAGCTGAACTTTTTACTGAACGGTAGATCTCCAGGAACTGGATTGGGCAGCCCTGGTCTAAACCAATTAAAGGTGTCAAAACGCCCAATAAGCTTTGAAATCAATCATATCATTGGTTTCCTTCAGGCGAAGTTCCACTTCCTGGGTTTGCAGGCTACGGGGCGTCTAAGGCAGCGATGATCGTGTACAATGGAGCGATTAGACAAGAACTCTACCGCTGGGGAGTCAGAGTCATCATCATTCAACCTGGAGCTTTCAAAACAAGTGAGAATTAAGGCCCGTTCACACCAGGAACCATAACTACAAAGTCTATAACGAAAACTATATTAACGTCCACATTCACGATCAATCATATTCTGTTCATTATGAGTGATATTTATGTCATCTGTTGCTTTAAATGCTTGAGCTGGAGTCGACTTGATTCCGATTGGCTGGCAGTGTTGTTTATCGTTCATCAGAATTCCAACCATATTGTTACACTGTGTCAGTATACGCTGATTTAACGCAGCCGCCATTTTGAAATGGCTCCGGTGGGAAGAAAACCGGAAGTGTCGCCTTTAATCATAGGAGAGTCGCGAATGCGATGGCGTATTGTTGTGTTTAATGTAGAAATTTGTTATTCTAAAAATGTACATACATTTCTTTCATACTTTAGACTATATACAGTGAAATTCATTTATAAATAATTTTTTTTTATATATATATAATTCAGAACGTAAAAAAAAAAAAAAAGCAGGAACAAACTATATACATATCCTATATTGGATATTAACATCCAATAGTGTAAATCGCGGCAGCAGCTTCAGGTTGGGAGTCCAAGGCATTGTTGTCTATCTGTACTTCCGGGATTCTTCCTGATGGTTGTTTCTTTAAATTGTCTGGCCAGAAGACCTTTGAGCCAAGTACAGTTTCGCAATTCATCGGTAAATGCATCCAATTATGCTATTAAAAGCACTTATTATTTTTTATTTTAAAGTTTCTGTTTGTTTCCATCTAAGTATCTTAAGATGAAGCACGTTTAGACATGCCTAAATATCCAACACATGCTATGCACTGGTTAAGGGGCGTGATTAATTTCTGTGTGGTATAAAGCATAAACCTGAAGATTTACAAGATTCTCACACTCATCAAACCAGGCAGCTCAGCACAATAGACAGGTTGTAATCTCACAGGCGCCTTTCTAGATCTCCTGATAGCATTGGCTGTGTGTTGTGTAGAAATGGAGGGTATTGTAGAAGACTGCCTGGGCTTTCTATATGATCTACTCATGGTAATATGCGTTGGACTGCTTCTGCGCGTGGCTGTAGGCCGGTCTGGGAGGTGGGTGGTGTTGCTTGTGGTTTCCGGTGTGATGTTGAGCTGTTTGGTCCATTCAAGTGTTCTTAAAGTGGGGCTTATGAGTGTGCTGTGTAGTGTGGTCCACTATGTAGGGAGAGAAGAGGTCATGTTGTCTACCCTGGACAAGGCGGTACTGATCACAGGTAAGACACCATATCCAGTTTGCTCCTAAATTATGTTTATTTGTATATATTCTAAAGGTCAGCATATATAATAATGTATTCACAGCATAGTGAAGTAGTGTATATCTTATGAAGCCTTTCAAGAACAAGGTCATGTTTCACCATCAAATCATTAAACTTTAAAACTTGAGGCCTATTTTTAGATCCAGTAAGTTTTTTTCTTTTTTTTTTCTTTGCATTGTGACATTGGTTTTATGACAATTAAGCACATTTCCTCCAAAATTCCCAATGCACAATGCAGTAAAATAAAATAAATAAATCTCATTCTCACATTGGATCTAGATTTACTTTTGGATATTTTAAAATCATCATCATTATTCATTATATAGATTCTGATTATATAATTAACATACTGTATATTTATATATATATACTGTTACTATTAATGCTGTAATAGAACAAGTAAAATATTGCAGTACCGTAATGTGTTGTTTTATTAAAAACAGCTCATTTTCATTACTGTAATCTGAAAATTGAATCAGGTTTATTTTTAAAAACATCTATACATGATGGTAGTATTTGTTGTACTCCCTTTAGGCTAATAAAACAATTATAGGGGGGAATTCAGGTTGATTGGGACACATTTTACCATTAAGATGACTGGGGAAATGTGTCCCAATCAACCTGAATTCATCCACTGTAATACAGTAAAAGAAAAAAAAGTTATAATACAGTTATGAGAATGTGATTTTTGCCATACATTAATGGGGGTAATTTTGGGGTAAATGTTCCTAATTGTCATGAAAATAAGTCTTAAGGGTCCTGAAATGTTAAAAGGGATTTGGGATGATATGTGTACATCTCACCCAGTAGAAAACAGTGTTTCTCTATAGTCCTATATAGTGAACTTTGCACTTTGAACTTAACTCAGTATGGTTAACTTCACTGGTTCCCATAAGACCATAAATCACTGCTGCATTCTTGTGATGTAATGTATCACAGATTGGTTGGCGTATAGATTAGAAAAATAAACAAACATGAATTGCCTATGTGGCAGCTAACCACTATTAACCATAATGCAATGTAATATTGGGATATGTGGAGGTGTGATTGAGTAACCAATTGAGATTGTGTATGTCACACAGGTTGTGACTCGGGTTTTGGTCATGATCTGGCCAGGTTTTTGGACGGGGCAGGGATGAGGGTGTTTGCAGGGGTTCTGAATGAACTCAGTCCTGGAGCTTTGAAGCTAAAGAAAGCTGCATCTCCAAACCTTACCATCCTACAGTTAGACATCACCAACAGCAGCCAGATCACACAGGCATATCAGGACATCAAGAGCCAAACAGGAAAAGCAGGTAAGAACAGAACTGGTAAGTGTGGTGTTGACATCTGATCGTATTGGTGGTATTTTATAATGATATCTTTAATCATTATTAATACTCATAGTCACTTGTGTCCAGTAAGCAAACACCTAGAACAATGGCCTGGTTCTCAACTCTGGCCCTCAACGTCCACTTTCCTCCAAGGTTTAGCTCCAACCCTGAAACACACCTGACCAAAGACTGTAAAAAAGATGGACAGCGCTACTACACGTCCTTCCAATGTAGAAAAATTAAAGTGAGACAATTTTTGTTATTCTGATTGAAACTCTCTTCACATCCTGATAGCAATCAATAACAGAAGTGGACTAAATATTAAAGTGCTGGCATATATTGTCTGTGGAAGTCTTAGGACCAACAAAATGTGTGTCCAATCATTGCTTTCGGTCCGAATGTAATGATTGGATGTCTTACCTGCCTGTCAACACATGTATTTCCATCCCTCCGCACACATGCTCACACAGACTTCACACACGTCACCAGCGCGTTCAGTAAGACTATGCAGAGTTAAACAGACGTCAGTCACAGAGCGTCACAAACAAACAGCAGCCGCGTTTCACAGTTCCTCCTGAACCAAAACAATGAGCTTATGCTGCTTACACACATCTCATAACTGTAATTTAGAGACGCAACCCATGACCTTCTACTCTGAGCTGTTCAGACTAGGATTTATGCGTTTCAGTGGCAACACTATCAATGCCGAAATGAATCTGCAGCAGTCAGGTGGCACAAGTAAGAGCTCTTTAAGTTGTTTACCTTCATTATTATTGTAATGTTTTGTGCTTTGAGACATGAGGTAATTTAACGCCGTCTCTTCTTACGCTTTGCTGAATCTGCTCTGGCTGTGTGTGTTCGTGTGTTTTGGAGGAGGCATGGCTTTGGAGATGCTCTGAAGGGAGGGTGGGATCTTATGCTTTAAAAGCTTCCTATTGATAATCGCTCCGATGTTGCCTAACGGTTGTTGCCGATTAAGCCGTTCAGAGGCCGAGTGTGTGCAGTAGTGGAGCCGCGGTGTCAAGGTCCCGCAGACTCAATCCCAGCTGACAATCATAATGTAATGATTTTTTAGTTTGGCTCGTGTGTCCCATTCGACTACACGGAGAGGGTGGCATCACGCACATTTGAGTTTCCGAAACAGCCTGAATATATGGATTACTTTTATGTCTTTCAATAAATAGACAGAAATGATGAGCGAATATTAAAAATATCTTTATTTGTTTCTAAAGATGAATGAAAGTCTTATGGGTTTAGACCGACATGAGGGTGAGTTGAGTATGATGACAGAATTTAATTTCGAATAAACTATCAATTTGAGTTTCTGTCACGTCTGGTCCTTCTCTTTCATATTCTCTTTAATAGTCTCATACTTAAGGGAAAAACTTTAGGTGCTTTATGCAACCGGGCACTGGCCCTCAAGATCCATTTTCCTGAGTTTATAGAGCGTTCCATTTGTCCTCGGATGTGGGAAAGTCCTAGCCTGGTCCTGCCGGTCTATCTGGGGTCACGAAACCATTCAGTCTGAGAGTCAGCATGACGAGTACCACTGTGTGTACACAGAGACCTATCATAAATTATAACACTTAACACTTTCTGACTGTTAAAATGAGATTCTCATTCAACTTGCCTCGGTCGGACTCGGCACTGAAGAGTGACGGATCACGTGCGCTCCACTGACTTCACTCCTATTGTTTGTTGCTCCCGAAAGTCACTCATCATTTGCATAAAGTTGAACAGATCTCAACTTTGTCGCATCGCTGGACACACCCACCCGGTCACCAACGGTCACTGTCGCTCGTGTCGCCGGAAATCGCCCGCTCTCCATATCTGCATAGCAACAGGCTACAAACCACTCAAGTTAGCAACCACATAGCAATGCCCTGGCAACCTCTGACATCACCCTAGCATAGTAGCAAATAGTTTTCAACTGTTGTTACTGTTTAAAGTTTAGTATACAGTATGTATAGAGACAAGTGCATTATTATTTTGTATTACTCGTTTCTTGTGGGCAGGACTCTGGGCACTAGTGAACAACGCAGGAGTGCTGGGATACGTGTGCGATGGAGAAATTCAGCCTATTAAAATGTATAAAAGACACGTAGATGTGAATTTTATTGGTAGTGTGGAGATAACGCAAGTCTTTCTGCCACTGATACGACAATCAAAAGGAAGAATAATCAGCATATCCAGTTTGGCAGGTAAATGGTTTCATAAGCATGCAAGGTTTTTGCAATACTGACTAACTCAAGCTATTTAACATTTTTTTGACAAAACATTTATCCTAAACCAGGGCTGCCGAATCCTGCTCCTGGAGATCTACCAACTGCAGAGCCCAGATCCAACCCTGATCCATCACTCCTGTGTGTAATTATCAAGTGCTCCTGGAGATCTTCATTAACTGCTTTTAGATGTGTTTGATCAGGGTTGGAGCTGAACTTTTTACTGAACGGTAGATCTCCAGGAACTGGATTGGGCAGCCCTGGTCTAAACCAATTAAAGGTGTCAAAACGCCCAATAAGCTTTGAAATCAATCATATCATTGGTTTCCTTCAGGCGAAGTTCCACTTCCTGGGTTTGCAGGCTACGGGGCGTCTAAGGCAGCGATGATCGTGTACAATGGAGCGATTAGACAAGAACTCTACCGCTGGGGAGTCAGAGTCATCATCATTCAACCTGGAGCTTTCAAAACAAGTGAGAATTAAGGCCCGTTCACACCAGGAACCATAACTACAAAGTCTATAACGAAAACTATATTAACGTCCACATTCACGATCAATCATATTCTGTTCATTATGAGTGATATTTATGTCATCTGTTGCTTTAAATGCTTGAGCTGGAGTCGACTTGATTCCGATTGGCTGGCAGTGTTGTTTATCGTTCATCAGAATTCCAACCATATTGTTACACTGTGTCAGTATACGCTGATTTAACGCAGCCGCCATTTTGAAATGGCTCCGGTGGGAAGAAAACCGGAAGTGTCGCCTTTAATCATAGGAGAGTCGCGAATGCGATGGCGTATTGTTGTGTTTAATGTAGAAATTTGTTATTCTAAAAATGTACATACATTTCTTTCATACTTTAGACTATATACAGTGAAATTCATTTATAAATAATTTTTTTTTATATATATATAATTCAGAACGTAAAAAAAAAAAAAAAGCAGGAACAAACTATATACATATCCTATATTGGATATTAACATCCAATAGTGTAAATCGCGGCAGCAGCTTCAGGTTGGGAGTCCAAGGCATTGTTGTCTATCTGTACTTCCGGGATTCTTCCCACCGGAGCCTCACTTTCTATTTCAAACTGGCGGCTGCGTGAAATCAGCGTATTGTTATAGCCGTGGTGGACTTCACTATTCTTGAAGAATTATAGCTAATGTTAAAGTTATTGTTCGTGGTGTGAACAGCCCTCAAAGGCCCATTCACACCATGAACAATAACTATAAAGATAACTATATTAGCAAAATAATGTTTCACACAAAATGAAGTGAAGATGATGAATGAACAAAAAGGAAGATCAAAAAATGAACATAAGAGCATCTACAAGAAAGAGTTTGTTGTAAGTCACCAGCATCACAGCCAAACAATGACACTCAAAACTGTCCTGTTTCTAGAGCTAATATCACAACAACAGCATATCTTGGTTCTGTGAAACAGCAAAACCAATGTTACTCACATATGGAGCAGAAACAAAGCAACCTCTGCGTCTGTTTTTAAGCCTTCCCTCTTAGATCTCTCCTGCGCTGGAAAGCTTTGCTAATAATAATGTGGGTCCTAAAGCTCTTTCCTGATCATAACCCTTCTTCTTCCAGTCATATTCCTCTGAGCTTTTCTCTTTTGTAATGTCTCTCAGCCATCTCTTTCTACAGTCTTTCTTCAAATCTCCCTCTTGCTCACTCTCTCTCCTCCCCCATCATGAGTGGACACGCCCCTACTGCTGATTGGCTCATTCTCTCCCCTCCCCATCATGAGTGGACACGCCCCTACTGCTGATTGGCTCATTCTCCCCCCTCCCCATCATGAGTGGACACACCCCCTACTGCTGATTGGCTCACAGTCTCTCCTCCCCCATCATGAGTGGACACGCCCCTACTGCTGATTGGCTCATTCTCTCCCCTCCCCATCATGAGTGGATACGCCCCCTACTGCTGATTGGCTCATTCTCTCCCCTCCCCATCATGAGTGGACACGCCCCTACTGCTGATTGGCTCACTCTCTCTCCTCCCCCATCATGAGTGGACACTCCCCCTACTGCTGATTGGCTTACTCTCTCCTCTCCCATCATGAGAGACACGCCCATTACTCCTGATTGGCTCAATCTCTCTCCTCCTCAATCATGAGTGACACCCCCCCTACTGCTGATTGGCTCACTCTCTCCTCCCCCATCATGAGTGGACACGCCCTCTACTGCTGATTGGCTCATTCTCTCCCCTCCCCATCATGAGTGGACACGCCCCCTACTGCTAATTGGCTCACCCTCTCTCCTCCCCATCATGAGTGGACACGCCCACTACTGCTGATTGACTCACCCTCTCTCCTCCCCCACCATGATTGGATACGCCCACTACTGCTGATTAGCTTACCCTCTCTCCTCCCCCATGATGAGTGGCACGCCCCCTACTGCTGATCGGCTCACTGTAGGCTTGTTCGAGTTGAACTGGCGCTGCACAGACCGATTGCTGAATGACATCAAAGTACCGCAAGACCGATTAGAGAGCAGACGGCTCTGTATGCTTTTGAATTGCTCTCGCTGTATTTTGATATCATAAACCGATCGGTCTGTGCTCGAACCGACCGAACTCGAACAAGCCTTGTCTCTCCTCTCCCAGCATGAGTGACACGCCCCCTACTGCTGATTGGCTCATTCTCTCCCCTCCCCATCATGAGTGACACACACCCCCTACTGCAAAAATTAATTCCGATATTAAGGCTGTGACATATAAACAAGCCGATCAACCTGATCACTTTATTTAGCGTTCATGTAAAAACTACGTTTGGATGAATTCATTCAAACAAAATGTGTCCATATAAACTGAGTGTTTCTCAGAAATCGCTTACTGCACCTTTAAATGGTCATGCTCTATAAAATTGGCTGTAAAAATGTTTTTATTGTTCATCAATTGGAACAAACAAATCATTACAAAAGTTATTCCAACAATATCGTTCCCGTGTGTCGTTATTGTTATAGCTGTGGTGTGGACTTCCTTATTATCGTAGAATCAGAACGACTATTACAAATGTAGTTATAGTTATCTTCCTTGCAAAAAATAAATATCTCATTTAAGTGTACACCACTCAGAGGACTTAAGGGACTTCCCCTAGTTCACCCATTAATTCAACTTCTGTCATTATTTATTCACATTCAATGCAACTCTTTTTTCCTGGAGAATTTTAATGAATATAACAATTGATAGTTCTTTTCATTTTGGGGTGAAATTTGACCCACTAACATTGACAGGCTTTGTAAGCAGTTTTAAAGGATTAGTTCACTTCAGAATGAAAATTTCCTGATAATTTACTCTCCCCACGTCATCCAAGATGTTCATGTCTTTCTTCCTTCATTCGAAAATAAATGAAGGTTTTTGAGGAAAACATTCCAGGATGTTTCTCCATATAGTGACTTCAATGGAAGGTCCAAATTGCAGTTTCAGTGCAGCTTCAAAGTCTCGACACCAGCCGAGGAATACGAGTCTTATCTAGTGAAACCATCGTTCATTTAAAAAAAAAAAAAGAAACATACTTTTTAACCACAAATGCTTGTCCTGCACGTCCACGACTTCACGCATTACGTAATCATGTTGGAAAGGTCACCTGACGTAGGAGGGAGATGTAGGGTTAGGGCGAAAAACATCTCATTCTCTCCAACAACTTCAAAATCGTCCAACATCGTTGTTTTACCTTTAATTTATTTTTGTTGTAAATGGCGTTTGACTTATTTGCAAGTTCCCTTTGTAAACACTAGGTTGGTACTTCCGCCTACGTCACGCGTGACCTTTCAACGCGATTATGTAATGTGTGGTGCATCACAGAGCTAGTGCAAGATGAACATTTGTGGTTAAAGTATAATTATCATGAAAATTTGAAGGGAACTAATCCTTTAATAACTACTTTCGTCAACTCATTTCCCAGATATTTTCGGCAGCAGGGAGCAGTGGAATAGTGTTCAGGAGGACATCCTCAGTGGTTTGTCTCAGGAAGTGATGACGTCTTACGGAGAAGAATACATCCGCTCAATGCAGCAGCGGCTGGCCAACATGTCTTCAGCATCAAGATCCGACACAGGCCCGTTTCTGGAGGATTTGAAGCATGCAATACTGTCCCCGAGACCAAAACACTTCTATTACCCAGGGGCCGCAGCGTGGGCTCTTCCCTTACTCTACAGACACTGTCCCACCTCACTGTCCGACAGGATCCTCTCCCCAATCTTTATGACTGGTGATGCCCAGCCAGCACAGCTTGGGGGTTCTTGAACTGTGATTCTGTTTGGTGATACAAGTGAATTTCCCACTTCACATTTACATACAGTACCTTATGGTAAGGTAAGGACTTAGGCAAGCAAATAGGGGTGTAACAATATATCGCAATACAACAATATGTATCGTGGATAGTGATAATATGTACTGGTGATAGTTCACCCAAAATGAAAATTACTGTGTGTGAAAGTTTTCAGCATTTTAGTGTCAGTAGTACTACATTAAACTACTATAATGTTGAATATAATGCAATAGGAGAATATTTGTGGAATATCCTGATCATGCTAAATGTCCAATGTTACCAGTAAAAAGTGGCAACATTATTTTAAATATATCTAGTCAGTGACAGTGCATAATCGTCTAAAATAATTCTGGATTTTCAGCTTCAGAATCATGAATATGTTTTTTCTGGTGTCTCTATTGTCCTGTTCATTGGGTTTCCAGCACCAAATACAAGCCTGTTCATTTACACACCAATGTAAATATAAATATCAAATTTAGCATTTTAATCAACAGTACATTTTGTTCATTTTTTATCATGTGTCTTCGCACTAATATCATGAGTTTGGTATCGTGATATGTATTGAATCGTGACATGAGGGAATCGTTACACCCCTAAAGGCAAATACCACACCATCAGTGGTCGAAGTCTAGTGTGGAGTGGTCACATTTACTGTTGCATGGTGAATTTTAGAAATCCAGTCATTCCAATAGGGATCCAAACACCTGAGGGCGAAAGATTTTCCCACACAGATTGCACAACGGGTCCAATGTGCTCCAAAAAAAAAGGTAACTAGATTGCAACACTATTGTGTAGAGGAGAACTGAGCGACTGAGCCTGGTTTCTCTCAAGGGGTTTTCTCCATTCTGTCCCCTGATGGAGTTTGGGTTCCTTGCCAGTGTTGGGGACATTCACTTTAATATTCAACAATATTATTGATGTGCCTCCATTGACAGCATTATATGGGAACTGAACTGAGCTGGATGATGACGTCACCGTTTCCCCCAGAGCGGCTATATATATAAATGAACTAAATTAATAACTTTTTTTACAACAAAAATGAACCATCATTGAACTTACTTAACTTGACTATGACACTATTTTCTTCTAGATCTGCTGTACAGCAGAAACACACTTTGTTGCATTATATTTTCCTGTTATCTCTGTAAAGCTGCTTTGAAACAATCTGTGTTGTTTCAAAATTTCACAAATGTGACTGCAGCTTGATGGTTATTTTCTACTATTAAGGGCAGCACCACAGATCTCAGCAATGTTTAAAGAATTGGGTGATGAATTCATCACATCCAGGTCAGGCTTTTACAACTTTTAGGACGGTACATTTAATTGTGAAAAAAAAATGTATAAATCACATCTTCTGTACACTTGTACCTTTCCATAAAAAGATGATCTTTTAACAATGCATTTGTTGTCACTAAATAGGTATTTTTTTTAAAAGAAAAACTTAAAAAAAAATGTCCATTGAATAAAAAACTAAACATTTACAAAGCGTCTCAGTCCTGAGGCTTCATGAAGGCCCGTTTAGGTGGATAATCAGCAATATTGCAATTGACGTCTTCTTCTGTCCTAGTAATAGCGGAGCGATCTCGTTTCTTGGCAAACTTTTTTCTCATGCTCCCAACCAAACTCTCATATCTGAAAGAAAAAATAAACAAGTCAATGTCTTTCACTCACAAAATCTGCTGTGAACATCATGACATCACGGTGAGCTGATTTCCTCTCGCACCTTCTAGCCATCTCTTCGTCTGTGATATCGGTTTCCATTCTGCTCAGAGTCTCGTCCTCCTCTTCATCCTCCTCCTCCTCTTTGTGTGCGTTCATCAGCAACATTAACTTCTACAAAAAAAAAAAATCAGTTTCGTGGTGAATAAACAAACTTAGATAAGATATTATATTATCACACACAATGAATAAATAATAAATATTTCAGATTTCAGGACGCTAATCAAATCCCAAGTTTGAGACATTAATTGGTTAAAAAAGAAAGAAATTCCATTTTTTGCATACAACATGAAATAAATGAGTTTATAATCAACCATTTGGAAAGATGCTAAATGAAAGCAAACTTATGGTCTCACACTTGACACTTAAAACAAAAAAAAAAGGTTTACGAAGCTTGTACCTGAACATCAGGATTGAAGCCTTTGAATGACATCCTGCCGTAAACCAGATCCTCGCAGGGAACGAAGCTTCTCTCCTCGACGATGTGGTTTCTGGTCAGAATTAAAGTGGCTAGTTATTTTTTATTCTGATACAGAGCTTGATTATATGATTCGTTCAATTTCAGAGGCAGAGTTTAATAAACCACGCATGACACTACGCCATTACACATCAAATTATGTAGGACAAGGTATGTGGTCTCATTTAACAATGTCATTCTGCATTACAAAAGAAAATCTCAAAGTTCTTCTCAACATTAACTATCAACATATTCCACGAACACACAAATAGCCTTTATTCTGAACAGAGACACTTCGCTAACTTCATTTTGGCTTGGTCTATGGAAGCCCATTTCCACCACACAAGAAAAAAAATCGTTAAAAAGTTACAATTATGAGATACTAATTCACAATTATGACAGTCAAAATTATGATAAAAATGAGTAATAATAATGACAATTCAACTTGTGATAATCATGGCTTTTTACATCATAATTATAACCTTGTGTCACTTTTTAACTCGTAACTAAGACTTAGTATCTCTTAATATTGACTTTTACTCTCATAATTAGGACTTTCCAAAGCATGGTGGGTTTTTTCCTTATGTGGCAGAAATGGGCTTCCATAGATATTTGTTATGTAACACAGTGACATCCATGTGACTTAAGGGATAGTTCACCCAACAATCATTTACTCACCCTCATGTTGTTCTGAACCTGTATGAGTTTCTTTCTTCTGCTGAACACAAAGGAAGATATTGAAGAATGTTTGGTATTCCGACAGTTGACGGTAGCCATTAAAAATAATAATACTATGGAAGTCATTGGTGCCACACAACAGTTTGGTTACTGACTTCCTTCAAAATAAAATATTTTGTGTTCAGCAGAAGAAATAAAATGCAGGTTTGGAACAACTTGATGGTGGGTAAGTGATGACAAAATGTTCATTTTTGGAGTGAACGGTCTCTTTAAGAGTGTATGAGTGAGATGTCGTCAGTGTGTATGAGTGAGATGATGTCAGTGTGTATGAGTGAGATGTCGTCAGTGTGTATGAGTGAGATGTCAGTGTGTATGAGTGAGATGATGTCAGTGTGTATGAGTGAGATGATGTCAGTGTGTATGAGTGAGATGATGTCAGTGTGTATGAGTGAGATGTCAGTGTGTGTGAGTGAGATGATGTCAGTGTGTATGAGTGAGATGATGTCAGTGTGTATGAGTGAGATGTCGTCAGTGTGTGTGAGTGAGATGTCGTCAGTGTGTGTGAGTGAGATGTCGTCAGTGTGTATGAGTGAGATGATGTCAGTGTGTATGAGTGAGATGATGTCAGTGTGTATGAGTGAGATGATGTCAGTGTGTATGAGTGAGATGATGTCAGTGTGTATGAGTGAGATGTCGTCAGTGTGTATGAGTGAGATGTCGTCAGTGTGTATGAGTGAGATGATGTCAGTGTGTATGAGTGAGATGTCGTCAGTGTGTATGAGTGAGATTTTTGTCAGTGTGTATGAGTGAGATGATGTCAGTGTGTGTGAGTGAGATGTCAGTGTGTATGAGTGAGATGATGTCAGTGTGTATGAGTGAGATGTCAGTGTGTGTGAGTGAGATGATGTCAGTGTGTATGAGTGAGATGATGTCAGTGTGTATGAGTGAGATGTCGTCAGTGTGTGTGAGTGAGATGATGTCAGTGTGTATGAGTGAGATGTCGTCAGTGTGTGTGAGTGAGATGTCGTCAGTGTGTGTGAGTGAGATGTCGTCAGTGTGTGTGAGTGAGATGTCGTCAGTGTGTGTGAGTGAGATGTCGTCAGTGTGTATGAGTGAGATGTCGTCAGTGTGTGTGAGTGAGATGTCGTCAGTGTGTATGAGTGAGATGTCAGTGTGTGTGAGTGAGATGTCGTCAGTGTGTATGAGTGAGATGATGTCAGTGTGTGTGAGTGAGATGTCGTCAGTGTGTATGAGTGAGATGTCGTCAGTGTGTATGAGTGAGATGTCGTCAGTGTGTATGAGTGAGATGTCGTCAGTGTGTATGAGTGAGATGTCGTCAGTGTGTATGAGTGAGATGATGTCAGTGTGTATGAGTGAGATGTCGTCAGTGTGTATGAGTGAGATTTTTGTCAGTGTGTATGAGTGAGATGATGTCAGTGTGTGTGAGTGAGATGATGTCAGTGTGTATGAGTGAGATGATGTCAGTGTGTATGAGTGAGATGATGTCAGTGTGTATGAGTGAGATGATGTCAGTGTGTATGAGTGAGATGTCGTCAGTGTGTGTGAGTGAGATGATGTCAGTGTGTATGAGTGAGATGATGTCAGTGTGTATGAGTGAGATGTCGTCAGTGTGTGTGAGTGAGATGATGTCAGTGTATGAGTGAGATGATGTCAGTGTGTATGAGTGAGATGTCGTCAGTGTGTATGAGTGAGATGTCGTCAGTGTGTATGAGTGAGATGTCGTCGTCAGTGTGTATGAGTGAGATGATGTCAGTGTGTATGAGTGAGATGTCGTCAGTGTGTATGAGTGAGATGTCGTCGTCAGTGTGTATGAGTGAGATGTCGTCAGTGTGTATGAGTGAGATGTCGTCAGTGTGTATGAGTGAGATGTCAGTGTGTGTGAGTGAGATGTCGTCAGTGTGTATGAGTGAGATGACGTCAGTGTGTATGAGTGAGATGTCGTCAGTGTGTGTGAGTGAGATGTCGTCAGTGTGTATGAGTGAGATGTCAGTGTGTGTGAGTGAGATGTCGTCAGTGTGTATGAGTGAGATGATGTCAGTGTGTATGAGTGAGATGTCGTCAGTGTGTGTGAGTGAGATGTCGTCAGTGTGTATGAGTGAGATGTCGTCAGTGTGTGTGAGTGAGATGTCGTCAGTGTGTATGAGTGAGATGTCAGTGTGTGTGAGTGAGATGTCGTCAGTGTGTATGAGTGAGATGACGTCAGTGTGTATGAGTGAGATGATGTCAGTGTGTATGAGTGAGATGTCGTCAGTGTGTATGAGTGAGATGATGTCAGTGTGTATGAGTGAGATGATGTCAGTGTGTATGAGTGAGATGTCAGTGTGTGTGAGTGAGATGTCGTCAGTGTGTATGAGTGAGATGACGTCAGTGTGTATGAGTGAGATGATGTCAGTGTGTATGAGTGAGATGTCGTCAGTGTGTATGAGTGAGATGATGTCAGTGTGTGTGAGTGAGATGTCGTCAGTGTGTGTGAGTGAGATGATGTCAGTGTGTGTGAGTGAGATGATGTCAGTGTGTATGAGTGAGATGATGTCAGTGTGTATGAGTGAGATGATGTCAGTGTGTATGAGTGAGATGATGTCAGTGTGTATGAGTGAGATGATGTCAGTGTGTGTGAGTGAGATGTCGTCAGTGTGTATGAGTGAGATGATGTCAGTGTGTGTGAGTGAGATGATGTCAGTGTGTATGAGTGAGATGATGTCAGTGTGTATGAGTGAGATGATGTCAGTGTGTATGAGTGAGATGTCAGTGTGTGTGAGTGAGATGTCGTCAGTGTGTGTGAGTGAGATGTCGTCAGTGTGTGTGAGTGAGATGTCGTCAGTGTGTATGAGTGAGATGATGTCAGTGTGTATGAGTGAGATGTCGTCAGTGTGTGTGAGTGAGATGTCGTCAGTGTGTATGAGTGAGATGTCGTCAGTGTGTGTGAGTGAGATGATGTCAGTGTGTATGAGTGAGATGATGTCAGTGTGTATGAGTGAGATGATGTCAGTGTGTATGAGTGAGATGATGTCAGTGTGTATGAGTGAGATGATGTCAGTGTGTATGAGTGAGATGATGTCAGTGTGTATGAGTGAGATGATGTCAGTGTGTATGAGTGAGATGATGTCAGTGTGTATGAGTGAGATGATGTCAGTGTGTATGAGTGAGATGATGTCAGTGTGTATGAGTGAGATGATGTCAGTGTGTGTGAGTGAGATGTCGTCAGTGTGTATGAGTGAGATGACGTCAGTGTGTATGAGTGAGATGATGTCAGTGTGTATGAGTGAGATGTCGTCAGTGTGTATGAGTGAGATGATGTCAGTGTGTGTGAGTGAGATGTCGTCAGTGTGTGTGAGTGAGATGATGTCAGTGTGTGTGAGTGAGATGATGTCAGTGTGTATGAGTGAGATGATGTCAGTGTGTATGAGTGAGATGATGTCAGTGTGTGTGAGTGAGATGTCGTCAGTGTGTATGAGTGAGATGTCGTCAGTGTGTATGAGTGAGATGTCGTCAGTGTGTATGAGTGAGATGTCGTCAGTGTGTATGAGTGAGATGTCGTCAGTGTGTATGAGTGAGATGATGTCAGTGTGTATGAGTGAGATGTCGTCAGTGTGTATGAGTGAGATTTTTGTCAGTGTGTATGAGTGAGATGATGTCAGTGTGTGTGAGTGAGATGATGTCAGTGTGTATGAGTGAGATGATGTCAGTGTGTATGAGTGAGATGATGTCAGTGTGTATGAGTGAGATGATGTCAGTGTGTATGAGTGAGATGTCGTCAGTGTGTGTGAGTGAGATGATGTCAGTGTGTATGAGTGAGATGATGTCAGTGTGTATGAGTGAGATGTCGTCAGTGTGTGTGAGTGAGATGATGTCAGTGTATGAGTGAGATGATGTCAGTGTGTATGAGTGAGATGTCGTCAGTGTGTATGAGTGAGATGTCGTCAGTGTGTATGAGTGAGATGTCGTCGTCAGTGTGTGTGAGTGAGATGTCGTCAGTGTGTATGAGTGAGATGATGTCAGTGTGTATGAGTGAGATGATGTCAGTGTGTATGAGTGAGATTTTTGTCAGTGTGTATGAGTGAGATGATGTCAGTGTGTATGAGTGAGATGTCGTCAGTGTGTATGAGTGAGATGTCGTCAGTGTGTATGAGTGAGATGTCGTCGTCAGTGTGTGTGAGTGAGATGTCGTCAGTGTGTGTGAGTGAGATGATGTCAGTGTGTATGAGTGAGATGTCGTCAGTGTGTATGAGTGAGATGTCGTCAGTGTGTATGAGTGAGATGTCGTCAGTGTGTATGAGTGAGATGATGTCAGTGTGTGTGAGTGAGATGATGTCAGTGTGTATGAGTGAGATGATGTCAGTGTGTATGAGTGAGATGTCGTCAGTGTGTATGAGTGAGATGATGTCAGTGTGTATGAGTGAGATGATGTCAGTGTGTATGAGTGAGATGATGTCAGTGTGTATGAGTGAGATGTCGTCAGTGTGTATGAGTGAGATGATGTCAGTGTGTATGAGTGAGATGATGTCAGTGTGTATGAGTGAGATGATGTCAGTGTGTATGAGTGAGATGATGTCAGTGTGTATGAGTGAGATGATGTCAGTGTGTGTGAGTGAGATGATGTCAGTGTGTATGAGTGAGATGATGTCAGTGTGTATGAGTGAGATGATGTCAGTGTGTATGAGTGAGATGATGTCAGTGTGTATGAGTGAGATGATGTCAGTGTGTATGAGTGAGATGATGTCAGTGTGTATGAGTGAGATGATGTCAGTGTGTATGAGTGAGATGATGTCAGTGTGTATGAGTGAGATGATGTCAGTGTGTATGAGTGAGATGTCGTCAGTGTGTGTGAGTGAGATGATGTCAGTGTATGAGTGAGATGATGTCAGTGTGTATGAGTGAGATGTCGTCAGTGTGTATGAGTGAGATGTCGTCAGTGTGTATGAGTGAGATGATGTCAGTGTGTATGAGTGAGATGTCGTCAGTGTGTGTGAGTGAGATGTCGTCAGTGTGTATGAGTGAGATGTCGTCAGTGTGTGTGAGTGAGATGTCGTCAGTGTGTATGAGTGAGATGATGTCAGTGTGTATGAGTGAGATGATGTCAGTGTGTATGAGTGAGATTTTTGTCAGTGTGTATGAGTGAGATGATGTCAGTGTGTATGAGTGAGATGATGTCAGTGTGTATGAGTGAGATGATGTCAGTGTGTATGAGTGAGATTTTTGTCAGTGTGTATGAGTGAGATGATGTCAGTGTGTATGAGTGAGATGTCGTCAGTGTGTATGAGTGAGATGTCGTCAGTGTGTATGAGTGAGATGTCGTCGTCAGTGTGTGTGAGTGAGATGTCGTCAGTGTGTGTGAGTGAGATGATGTCAGTGTGTATGAGTGAGATGTCGTCAGTGTGTATGAGTGAGATGATGTCAGTGTGTGTGAGTGAGATGATGTCAGTGTGTATGAGTGAGATGATGTCAGTGTGTATGAGTGAGATGTCGTCAGTGTGTATGAGTGAGATGATGTCAGTGTGTATGAGTGAGATGATGTCAGTGTGTATGAGTGAGATGATGTCAGTGTGTATGAGTGAGATGATGTCAGTGTGTGTGAGTGAGATGATGTCAGTGTGTGTGAGTGAGATGATGTCAGTGTGTATGAGTGAGATGATGTCAGTGTGTATGAGTGAGATGATGTCAGTGTGTATGAGTGAGATGATGTCAGTGTGTATGAGTGAGATGATGTCAGTGTGTATGAGTGAGATGATGTCAGTGTGTATGAGTGAGATGATGTCAGTGTGTATGAGTGAGATGATGTCAGTGTGTATGAGTGAGATGATGTCAGTGTGTATGAGTGAGATGATGTCAGTGTGTATGAGTGAGATGATGTCAGTGTGTATGAGTGAGATGATGTCAGTGTGTGTGAGTGAGATGTCGTCAGTGTGTGTGAGTGAGATGATGTCAGTGTGTATGAGTGAGATGATGTCAGTGTGTATGAGTGAGATGATGTCAGTGTGTGTGAGTGAGATGATGTCAGTGTGTATGAGTGAGATGTCAGTGAGGTCTCACTCTTTGGCCTTGAGCTCAGGAAGGTCCAGGAACCAGTGATCATCACTGATGATCCTCTTCTCCTCCTCATCCAGCTGCTTCTTCACCTCTGCATCTAAGCCTCTCTGCATGAACTACACACACACACACACATACAGTTCACAGTGGACCACGTGACTGCGTTCAACAACGCCACGAGACTCAAAACAAAACCGAACTTTAACATGAAACCTTCTTATTACAAGTTCAATCAAAGGCTCATCCCTGAATACCTCTGTTTTGTGAATATCATACATTAGAGCTGATGCTGATGTCTGCAACAGTCACGGCTTCTTACCTTCATTCGCAGGAGATTTTTAGACAGTTTCGCTGCACCATCGTTCGCCATTTCAGGTAAGAGTTAAACTGCACGTTTTAATGTGAATGAATTGATGTAAAGTGTTTTTCTTTGATAGATGTATTACATGGGCACCATGACTGTATCCGGCACAAGACGCTAAAATAAATACTAGTCCGCATGAAGTCTGCGCACGCGCTGTCGCAAAACGTGCAAGGCTCGATTAGTCGCACAGCAGCACAGATCGACCGACAGCATTTGTTGTTAAATGATTTGTAATACAGATCTAATAGTACAATAATGTTCTTAATTCAATGATAGATAATTTATTTGTAATATGATTTAGTTAAAAAAAATATTTACTATACATCATTTTGATGAATGTATCGATTACTCATGTCTGAGGAGCTCTATACCCAGTAATGCCGCAAGTTGCCAACACATGATTTACTTTTCAAAATGTATCACTAAAAACGTTCTTGTATATTTCACCACAGTGAGGATTTATTGATGCGGTTTTGGTAAGTTAAACAGACGTTTTTGCCTACAAATCGCCTTTGTGTAACACAGCTGTTCAGTTAAATGTTGACATATGAAAGCTCTGTACAACAATAGTGGCCATGTATTTTCTTATTGGGGGTTTCCATAAAGAGAGGCATCAATTATATTATTTCAGTTATTATTTTTGTATTAATAGTAATATAAGTGTATTTTTTTGCGTAACTAACATTGACTGCTATCAAAATATATCAAAATATGAATACTGAAATAAAAATGGCTGTTTAAGGACGTTTTTCTCATTAACACTTTTACCACACGGCTGTTTTATTTATTTACCTCACTATAAAAAAAATACCATATAGTGCCACCATGTACTGTAGTAATACCATGGTGTTCTTTAAAGTACCTTTGAGTACCAAGTTGTAAATACCTTGGTACATGTGTTAATTTATATGGTGTGTATTCAAGCCTTATTAATATTCAGTTTGTTATAGGAAAACCTCCATCACAGAGTGACAGAAGCCCTGGAGGAGAAGGGAAATGGGACCAGCGGACTCCAGGGTGTCTCATGAGGTGCACTTGGACAGATCGGAGGGAGGTGCAAATATCCCCACTGTAAAGGGATCGCTCCAATCCTGTGACATGCACATGCATCAGAAAGAAACTGCTTTCTGGAGTTTAATGAGATGATGAAATAAGTAAGATGGTCACATAATATTTGTTGTTCTGGGACAGTATGAAGTATTTAATTTAAGTTATTAAAGTGAAAGTCACAAAATTATGTCACAATGAGAAATATTGTTTGCACACCTGTACTTTTTATATATATATTCTAAGTTTGTTTGACTCTTCTCAAAGCGTTATGACAATTACGGTAAGTAGTAGACAAGACTAGTTATTGTGCCCGAGCTGATGCTTCCATGAAAGACTGTTACACCAGGACTTCTTCTCCCAAAGCAGGAATCATACACCGAGTGAATCACTCAGTGTGAGTTTTTGTTAGTGTATAAATATATCAAATACAAAAACAAATGAATTTATTTAAAAAGTAATGTTTTTTAAGAATTATCCCATTGTGGTGTTTCTGACAGGTCAAAAAACAGCTTGAAACAGTGTAATTTTATTGTTATTTATATACTATTATAGTATTTAATAATATTTTGAATGAGTTATTTTATATTTTCAGTTTTCATTTAAATTTTAATTATCATTTTTGCAATAATTTATTTCATTTCAGTTTTATTTTTTTAGTTAGTTTTTTTCCTAGTAATTAAAGGTACAATATGTACAATAAGTTTTGTAATAAAATATTCAAAAAACACTTTCACAGTGTGATATATTTCATGGAGTTGTGTACTTACATTATCCCAAAAGTTCCCAAGGATTTGGAAATCCAGAGAAATTCTAGTTTTAAATAACCGTCCCTTGTCATTGTCGTCTATCAATGTAATCGATGTAATATCTGCGCTATCCTCGGTTTCCGCTTGTAGAAACCATATATATATATATACACTCACCGGCCACTTTATTAGGTACACCTGTCCAACTGCTCGTTAACACTTAATTTCTAAGCAGCCAATCACATGGCGGCAACTCAGTGCATTTAGGCATGTAGACATGGTCAAGACAATCTCCTGCAGTTCAAACCGAGCATCAGTATGGGGAAGAAAGGTGATTTGAGTGACTTTGAACGTGGCATGATTGTTGGTGCCAGAAGGGCTGGTCTGAGTATTTCAGAAACTGCTAATCTACTGGGATTTTCACGCACAACCATCTCTAGGGTTTACAGAGAATGGTCCGAAAAAGAAAAAACATCCAGTGAGCGGCAGTTCTGTGGGCGGAAATGCCTTGTTGATGCCAGAGGTCAGAGGAGAATGGCCAGACTGGTTCGAGCTGATAGAAGGGCAACAGTGACTGAAATAACCACTCGTTACAACCGAGGTATGCAGCAAAGCATTTGTGAAGCCACAACACGCACAACCTTGAGGCGGATGGGCTACAACAGCAGAAGACTCCACCGGGTACCACTCATCTCCACTACGGAAAAAGAGGCTACAATTTGCAAGAGCTCACCAAAATTGAACAGTTGAAGACTGGAAAAATGTTGCCTGGTCTGATGAGTCTCGATTTCTGTTGAGACATTCAGATGTTAGAGTCAGAATTTGGCGTAAACAGAATGAGAACATGGAACCATCATGCCTTGTTACCACTGTGCAGGCTGGTGGTGGTGGTGTAATGGTGTGGGGGATGTTTTCCTGGCACACTTTAGGCCCCTTAGTGCCAATTGGGCATCGTTTAAATGCCACGGCCTACCTGAGCATTGTTTCTGACCATGTCCATCCCTTTATGGCCACCATGTACCCATCCTCTGATGGCTACTTCCACCATGTCACAAAGCTCTAATCATTTCAAATTGGTTTCTTGAACATGACAATGAGTTCACTGTACTAAAATGGCCTCCACAGTCACCAGATCTCAACCCAATAGAGCATCTTTGGGATGTGGTGGAACGGGAGATTCGCATCATGGATGTGCAGCCGACAAATCTGCAGCAACTGTGTGATGCCATCATGTCAATATGGACCAAACTCCCTGAGGAATGCTTCCAGCACCTTGTTGAATCTATGCCACGAAGAATTGAGGCAGTTCTGAAGGCAAAAGGGGGTCCAACCCGTTACTAGCATGGGGTACCTAATAAAGTGGCCGGTGAGTGTATATATATAGCTATACATAGATTCCTCATTAGGGGCCGTTTCAATGGGCTGCTGTAAGCCGCTAATGAGGATCTGTCTATGATAGTGTCTCGCACGCAGAGCCGGACAGTAACGGAGTACATTTACTTGAGTACAATTTTGAGGGATCTGTACTTTACTCGAGTATCATTTTTGGGGAGTACTCATGACTTTACTCAAGTACATTTGAGAGGCAAATATTGTACTCTTTACTCCACTACATTTCTATCCATAACCGTGAGTACCCGTTACTACTTCTAAAAAAAAAAAAAAAATATGGAAAAAAGAAAAATCTCGGAAACCCTCAATTTGTTGTTTCCCTCTCAAACGTGATTGGATTGTGCAGGCGCCACTGATTGGGACAGCCTATCAGCAATCACCTTCTGCTTTCCGCCAAAGTCAACTCCATGGTCCGATTTAGATAAGAGACGAAACAATGGATGAAGACGCAGCAGGTCCATCCCGTGAATGTGCCAACCCGTGGCCCCACCTCGCCAGACTATTTCAATTTTCTGAAATTTTCTTAAATGTTAAATAAAGCAACATGGTAAAAAGATGAAAATGACTTGATTTTACTTTTTACTTTCATACTTTATTTTTGAATTTATGCAAAAGAACATCTGACAAGAAAATAAAATCAAGCAAACAAATCAAAATGATTCCAATAACACAATAAAACAAATTAATTAACAATAGTTGCAGTCAAAGACTTTTTTTTTTCTTACTCCTGTCAAATATTCGAAAAGGAGTGGGAAGAAAAAAAAAAACGTATTTAATCCCACCCCCTATCCACAATTCAAAAGCTTACAATAAGTCGACCCACGTTCCATGTATTCATAAATCTACTTTGTTATATATATACATTCTCCAAGGTATTAACATTTTTCATAACTCCATGTAGGACGTTTCAGTACATAAATGTAAGCACTGTGGCAATAGTAATGCAATATTTAGAAAATGGACTCTTGATACTCAAGTACTTTTAAAAACAAGACGAAACTTGTACTTGAGTAAAATTTAGCAAGGTGTATCAGTACTTTTACTCAAGTAATGAAGCTGTGTACTCTGTCCGCCTCTGCCCGCACGTCGCTGTTGTGTCGTTCAATCATGACTGATTCGAGTATCAGTTGAATAGTCAGTTCACGATTATTGATTGAGAGTACAGAAAATGCAAAAGAAAAAAACTTGAACGTAGATAAAGTGAGGCAAGCAGGCTTTGGGAAAAACAGAGAAATAAAATAAGGATCAATATCGGTGTGGCGTTTTCAGGATGGAGAGAGCTTCACGTCAAACTTGGACATGACAGACTCTGCTCTCGCATGTGTTTTATAGACAGGTAAGCAGAGCCGGATTATCCATAAGGGCACTTGGGCCAGTGCCCAGGGGCACCAACCATTCACAACCACTAGGGGGGCACCACATGAGTCAAGCTTTAAAAATATTTTTCGTAAATTGTTATATTATTAACTTGAAATTCTTGACAGACCATAAATAAATCGTTTATGAACACTAATTTAACAATAATAATAACAATTAAAGCTGCTAGCAGCATTTAGCGGTGTTCAAGCAGTTAAGGCCGTTAAGCACAAAAGCATCAAAAGACATTAAGTTTTATGTAGCAAGCATTTAACCATTGACATCATAGATGGAATAGACCATGTTTTAGCATGATTTACCATGATATACCAAATTTAGTGTGATTTTTCATGATCTGCCATGTTCCAGTATGATTTACCATGAATCTAGCATGATTTACCACAGTTTACCATCATTTACCATGTTATAGGATGATTTACCATGATATACCACATTCTAGAATGATTTACCAGGATTGTAGCATGATTTACCATGATTCATCACATTGCTAGCATGATTTGCCATGATCCACCATGTAATAGTATTTTTTACTATGATTTACCATGTTTCTATCG